CGTAGGGTCGAGGGGATGGGCGTTGGTGTGAGGGGGAGTGGTGTTGGTGCGGGTGTTGATGTGCTCGGTGAAGCGTTGGATGCTGCTGCCGCGGCGGCGGGCGTGGATTTGGGCGGTGCGGGTGGTATGGGTGGGGATTTGGGCGGAGGGTTGGGGGGAGATATGGGGAATTTGGGAGGCGATCTGGGGGGTGGGTTGGATGGGGATTTAGGAGGTGGATTGGGTGGGAGTATGGGGGGGAATGGACTTGGGGGAAATAGTAGTATGGATGATGATTTGATGAGTGGACTCATGGGAGGTCATCATCATGGGGATTTACTTGATGGGTTTGGTGAGGGGTTGGGTGATGGGATGGGGTTTTAATCATATCTATCCCGGTACCATCTCGTTAACCTATCTCGTTTGCAAATTGCAGTTGCCTCGCACGCGGTCGTGAAAGGACATTTGCTCGTGTGCGTCTTGTGTGTCTTGGTGTGTCTTGCTTGTGATAAATTGAACATGAAAACATGACATATGTAGTCTGATTTCCAGGATTCGAATAACCGAAAAGTATACTATTGAAACCCTGAAGAACCCCCTTTTCAGACAAGGTGTAAACATAAAAGGCTCTTTGAGCATGGGAGATGTCTGAGACGGCTGAAATATATCGGCCAGAGATCAGATACGACTTGGAGAGCTGGATCGGGGGGTGAGAGCGCGTGCGTGCGCTGTTGTAGTGGTAAAGATGCGCTGTCGTGGTGTATGGGAGGTTTTGGGGGCGGTGCATTTTGGTTAGATTTGGTTCAGTAGTGTGAGACGATGAGAGGGGGGGGGTTGAGGTGGTGAGGTGGATTTCGGTGATGAAATTCGTAGTAGTGAGGAGTGAAATTCGGGGTCTTGGGAATTTACTTTGCTGGTCATGTTCAGGGTGTAGTGTGGAATTTAAGGGTTCATCGTGGGAGCTAAGGAGGGGAAGTGTGTGGGTTAGGTGATTAGCACTTGTTAGAGACGTTTGAATGTGGGCGTTTAAGGTGGATGTTTTCATTCTTGGCGAGATCGTTCATGATATTCTTTTAATACGTTAGGCGTTTTAATCATAAGCGATTCTTGTCACGAAATCAAATTCCCAAGTAAATCTTCTTTTGTAGTAGAGGGCATAGTATTGCTACCGCGAATAACTCAAATCTCACTATCTATCTAGCGATAGAGCAAAGAAGCCGCAGTATACTTCAAAGTAAGTGTCAGGGCGTGATTTAGATACAGCGACCTTTGTGTCGTAGCATATGTGCTAGGAGTAGAAGTAGTAGAGGGTGTTACAGTACTAGGCGGTGATTCAAGTCCATTAAGCGAGAACACTAAAATTATCTTTCTTACCCCACGACTTAATTAAATCGTAACTTAATTAATTCTAAGGCTATCTTTAAACAAATTAGATTATTTAATTCGCGTATATCTACTCTATAAATCTTATAATTAGGATTTCTTCGCGCGACGTTGTAGGGTCCTAATATCTAGTATGCCAGCCATCTGCCTCGAAACAAGCCTTAACTCGAGACGGCATGCTCTCTACAAGACTCTTAAATAAGGAATTAGGTAAAGCGTCCTACGCTTTATACAAAATATCTTCAAGGGCCTCTCTATTGGCCTCTGAATTCCTATTTCTATTCTAGAGATCTAGGTACATCTTATACACGAGTTCTTTAAGTGCTTTCTAGGCGTGCTTAATCGGGTTTAGATCCGGGGAGTAAGGAGGCTAATCTGTAATACGAATACTATTCTTAATAAACTAGTCCCGGACCTTATAAGCCGTATAGATCGGGGTATTGTCCTATATAAATACCAGGCCGTCCTAGTAGTAAAATAGTAGGTTATCCTCTAATACCTCGATGTAGGAGGATGCCGAGTACCCTTGTTTCTTTAACTCGAAGTCACGGTCTATAATGTATAGTGGCGTCCTCTCTCCTTTGCCCTAAAACATTACCTAGACTATAATCCTTAAACCCTTTCCTTTTTTATAGGTTAAGACGTTCTTTAGTATCTATTTCTTAGCCGGAATTCTAAAGACCTAAACCTACTTTTGGCCTTTGCCCCGCTCTACCGAACACTTATCACTCTATATATATTTCCTCTACCTTTCTATATCCTAATACCTTCTAACTTGTACCTATTCGTATCTTAGAAGGGCAACCTCGTCTATAAGTTCGGGGCGCTTCTTTACACGCCAGTAGTAGATACTATTCTTACGCGCAAGGTCTTTAATCTAAGTGTTCTTACATTTTAGCCTAGTTTCCGCCCGACGCTAATTAAAAGTCATTTTCGGGTATAATCGTATATTGCGTAGTATTATTCGACAGTCCCGTTCCGAATAAGTCTTTAGTCCGCTAGGCCTCTTCTTAGAAATACCCTCGGGCTAGTGGCTCTTGTTAGCAATAGTCGACTTAACTACCGCTAAAGACACTCTATACTCGCGTTCGATAGAACAATTTCTCTTACCCGATTAGCTTGCCCTAATAATCTGCCCTCTAGTATATAGGGTAAGATCCTTTCTACGGTGTAAATTCCTATTTATAGGACGTAACGGAGTGCGTTGAGGTGGCATATTAAATAGGTAAAAAAAAGGTGTATAAATAATAAAACGCGTCGCGTCGGCAAAATCACGGAAATGGACTTGAATCACCGTCGCTTACTGTACATGACTACCCTAGGTGAGGTGATAGAGGAGATGCAGACTCTATAGACTAGACCTAGCGTAATCTCATGGGAGTAGAGAAGCTAGTAGGGCTAGGCTCGGTGGCTGTCTGCTTTTTGGATAGTTTAGGGGGGATTGCGTGTTATAATAGCGTAAGTTAGGTAAGGAAGTTGAGGATAGTAGGGGAGAGGAGGAATTAGAAAGGGGGAGGGGTTTTGGTAGTAAAATGGAAAACGGTGACGACGTTCTCCTTTCAAAATTACCCCCAAGAAGGAGAGCGCGGGGGTATCCTTACCTGCAATCATCGTTGAACCGTTTTTTTTTTCGGATAAAAGAGGAGACTTGAGTGTGTAATAGATGGAGGTAGGAATCCGCGACTCGGACTTTCGAACACGTTTGTAGACGTCGATTCCATTTCTTAGTTCTTAGTTTAGAGGGGGTAAAAGAGGCTTTTTATATACAGGGGTGTAAAGAGAGGAGGAGAGGGGTTTTAGGGGTAGGGTGGATGTTTGAATAGAGTAGGGAATAGGAGTAATAAATAGTAGATTTACTATACTAAGAAGATTTAATTAAGTAGAGAAGTAGTACTATAGATAAGAAAGATAGAGGTTTCGGTTACGTTTTTACTAGTATCAGTTACGTTAGTAGAAGGATAATAAGGGATCTAAGTTCGCGCCGAAAAGTATCAAAACGAGATTATATTAATAGGACGATAGGTTATAATAATAGACGAAATTCTTATAAGTCCTAAAAAGTTAGAGTAAGCGATAGAAAACTATATTAATACTCTTTAAATAGTAGCCGAACAAAATTTGTTCTTTTTTTTTGCGAGCGTAGATCTTAGAAAATATAGGGCCCGGGAGTTAGACTACTTAGCTTTAGAAACATATTTTAGGAAAGGAGAGAGCCTAAACTATAACTTCGCTATTTTCAAGAGTAACAATAGACGTTAAGGCAAAACTTAGCCTATTAGATGGCAGTATTATGCTCGGAGGCTATTATGCGGAAGTGCGCGGTTTAGCAAACAACTCTGCCTCTTTTCTTTTGTCTAGTTAGGTTAGGCTTATCTCCGATTATAATAAATAGCTGCCATCTAATGCTTTGCGACGAGTCCCGGAATTCGGTAGTGAGATTGAAATCGGCGACGACTTTGAAAATTTACGAAGTGTTTGCGAAGAGTCAGCTAGATATTCACGAAATTGTGAGGAAACACTTTTTGTGCTAGTTGTGAGAATGAAAAGGGTTGTAGGTTCGTGTATAGAAATTATTTGCCAACCGGACAAAGGAGGAGGTGTACTTTGGATCTTGTTGCCTTTTTGATCTGAAAGAGGGAGGAGTGTAGGAGATAAAAATTGATTTTATAGAAAGTAGTTAAGTATTTCTTTACGTCACGAGGAAAGAGGGCGTTTGTATGGCATTGTTGATAATTTAAGATAACAGGCGCGGTACAAAATTGTATCAAAACTCAAAATAGTAATATCTAGTATACACTACAAGTTGTATTAAACAGATAAGGTACATCCGATTTAAATACAATTGCATACGGAAGCTTATGACGAATCGCGTCAATACCGTCAACAGATTCAGAAATCGCAGTAACCTTCACGAAATGGGCGGGAAAGATAAGAATTGCGATATATCTATAAAGAAAATTCATCTGTTTCTGGCTTTTTGGAAGGATATTCGAGGGAATGAGGGGTACAGGTTGGCAAAAAAAACGAGAAAAGTATTTCGGTGGTAGGAATATTTTCGGTGACGAATTTTGTGTTTTATAAATGTTATAATATTTCTATCCTTTCCGATGTCACATTCTTTCCTTCCTTTTTCTCCTAACTACAAGAGGTAACTTTTGGTATTACATTTAAGAGGTAGGTTTACATTCAAGTCACATTGCTTAGATCAATGTTGAATTCTACTTGCGATGATTTAGAAGGGTGATGAATGAAACGTGTTTTATAGAGAAATTTCCAAAAAACTTACTCCTCCGATCTACGATGTAAAGCGAGCGTACCGTGGTCCTTGTAATCAGTACTATCACAACGACCCACGCAGAGTCGATAATTAGTGGCTAGGCAAAATCTATAATTTGCAGTCCGTAGTGCGTATATGCTTTATGATTGTAACATTTTTGTCCTTTGCAGTACTATTAGGCCGATCAACCTAAACACCGGCCAACATAGCGGATTATCAGTCGTTTTTTATTTCAAAATTTCCATCTTTTCTCTAGTGCCCAATGGCCAAGAAGCCAAACTTCACGTCTAGAAATCTGTAGAAAAAGAAAGAGAATCACGGCCCTTAAGCGCAGACTATGAGACGCTTCTCTCGTCACTTGGAGATAGTACGGATTGTGAAAAGATTTTGTAATAAAACAAAACGATATGATGGTTATCATAGGAGAATTAGCCTCTCAAAAGTTTTTTTTTCCAGATATTACATCTGCTGGTGGGACACAATTGTGTAGGAAAAACAACAGACGGAGACGTAGCCTGTGATGTCTTTTCCCCCCTTTATGAGCCCCTGAATTAGCCGAGTTCCCCATCAACCATAGTTTGCCATCTCGAAATCGTTTACATCTTTGAAAATCCGTAACAGTCTTTAAACATAGAAAGACTATTCAGATCCGTCAAATATCTGTAGATATCTGCGCCCAACATTGTGGGTTGCTGTCACTCTTGTTGGAAACATGCCTTCAAACCATTTGTGTAATCGGGACGCGCTTGCTGCAGCTGGGTATAAATGTGCAACAATAGGCTAGAAAACATATTACTCCGCGGAAAATATTGGTCCCGGATGTAGATTCACTATTGATAACCTGCAAGGGGGCGACCCCTAGGTAGAGGTTTGGCATAAATTCAATTCACCTCAACCATGACCTATGGCATGAACTATAATTGTCGCCACACTAACAACTTTCCAATCCGAAAGTAAAAATTTGGAAGAAGATATATATTTACGGCTAAATGAAAAGATTTTCATCAAATCCAGCCCAACATATCAGATCGACGCGTTTTAATCAAGATTTCAAAATGAAAGGCTGGATATCACGACTACTTCCCAACTTCAATCAATCGTTTTCAATTCGGTCCGAAAACCCCACAAGACGCGTCGAGGCACCATACGACATAATTCGAGACGATGTACCACTTATCATGAAATCAACATCACACACCACTCACGGACCTACCACGACAGGCACCCCCATCGACCAACCCCTTCTCACCAAAATAAGCCGTACCCGCTCCATAATCATCCCCTTCGAACCACGCTACCTCAATATCGTCCCAAACCTGCACAAAGTCGCCCAGTACGACATCCTCGCCCTCAGAGACCTCATCAAGCTTGCCGAAAGCGGAGATCAAAGCATCGAACTACTGCTCGCATTCCACCGTACCATGGCGATCGAAATGCAACATGGACATCCGAACCGATATGATTGTATTCTGAGAGAAACCGCGAAGCTAGACAAGAGGGTGCAGTTGTTGAGGGCTTATGATGAGAAATTTGGGATTAGGAGGAAGGCTGATGTTTTGGATATGCCGAGGCCGAGGACACCGGTGGAAAGTGCTTATACGGGGCCTATATGATTAGATTTCTGGAATCGGGGCTGCATGCACATTGTTCTGTGGAAGATTGTGGTTGAGATTGCTAGATAAATTGTCAATAGCTGGTTAAAGTGAGGGAAGGAAGTGATGCTGCAAGAACTTCCATGACTTGGAGATAAATTTGCGATTTGGAGTTGCTAGGGAAAGTTGCTTTTAGAATGTGAAAGTCAGAAAGGGTTACAATTTGATTAGAAGAGTTGCTATTTGAAATCTGAATGGAATACTTTGTGTGAATAAATCCAGCGACTTCCTCCTAGTGCCGTTATTTGGAAACGTAAAATACAAGGAAGATAGGTCGCCAAACAGACGTAATCAGGTTTATGAATCATAGCTAAGCCACCAAAATATCAACATAAGATTTTCCCAGAGCAATTTCCTGTCAAGATTACTTACAACACCCGGAGCTTAAAGTGATATATTTTGGTTATATTTCATCGCCATGTGGCTTTTGCGAAAGAAGGAAACCCCAGAGATGGATGCAGCGTCAAAAACGACAGAGTCACTTGAAGAGAGCTGGAGCGACGTGGGAGAAGAGTCATCAAAAGAGTCTGACACTCTGCCCTCCATCATCGGAAAATTCGTTCAAGTCATCACAACAAGTCCCAAATACATGGCCAACAATTCCCACTCACACACCAGTCTCAAGAACATTTCCAATGTCGCAACGGCACTTCAATATGCCATAAAACCGAACACGCCACCGTCAAAACGCCATACTACACTTCGCGATCTCGCACTGGGTCTGCAGTTGTGGCCTACCGATAGCAACATTCAACTACAACAAGATGCGGCACGTTCTATCCCGCTTCTCCACAAATACATGCGAGATACCCTGAAAAGCGAACTAGCGTTCATTGAAGACCTCCATGCGAAGGAAAGGTTAAAGCAGACGAGACTTACTACGCAAATTGGCGGTTATCACGGTGCTGGCGAGGAACCGGCGGACGATTCTCTTCGAAAACTGGCCACGCTTCGATATCAAGCAGACAATGTTTTGATTAAACTGGAGAAAATTATTACCATGTAAGTGGAAAGCAATGTTACCGAGGAAGAGGATAATTTCAGTTTGAAGGATATGCTCGATATGCTTCCCAAGACCAACAATCTGACAGAGACAAAACCTAAAACAACACGCAAACACGGTCTCAATCAGAGTCGAGCGGATGCTATCAAAGCAGTCGAGGCCTATCGAGACGCTATCAACGCTGCAAGCGACCAGCTACTTCAAGCGCTGAACGAATAAGGAGACAGCGATGGTACAGCAGAAGAATATAGTGGGGCCGTCAAGAAAGGAATCAAGAAAATGGCCGGAACAAAAGATGCAATGTTGACAATGAAAACACACCTGAGCGTTTTACATGTTGAGGAGAAACAAAGACGAACAAAGGCGGTAGTTGATGGAGGAAAATGACAGTGAAGCTGGAGGGAATTGTGAAGGAGAAGATAAGTGGTATCGAAAAACAATATTCACTAAAAATGATACACGATGGGTTGATTAGTTATTGTCAGTAAATATAATTTTCAATCCAATGACATCGAAGCGTTGTTTACAATGGAAATAATTCGCACTGACTGCGGAAGCCTATTGGGGCGGTTTCTACAGATAGTGTCTATCAGATATTGAAGCGTTGGGTCTAACAAAACGACGATTTCATTGCCCCAGATCAATGAATCTTACTGGTTGAAAGGCAGCTGTTTTCTATTCTTTCAGAATGTTGAGAAAATTCCCTTATTTTCTTTCAAAACAGTGAATCTGAACAACAACCAATTTGCTCTGAACAATCTCAACCTGTCCCAGCCTTCCAATTTTTGAAGCATATTATGTTCTTCCTCGCACCTTGACAATGAGTTTATATCAGTCGACATCGGCACATCATTTGTCACTTCTGTACGTCTAGCAAAATTCGAATCAACACCAAATATCACCAAGTCCGTAATCGATCGACATCATGCCTACCAAAAGGTCGACCACACACATCGATATATTCGAAAAATCCGGGATTCTGAAACCCATCACCGATGACCACATGTCCATACCACCCACCCTTTCTAGAAGAGATAGATACATTGCAATGTCAGTGGAAGAACTTATCGGATGCTGTCGCGAAGGATCTTACACAACAGTAGACTTGCTCATGGAATTGCATCGCAGAGCTTCCGCGTCAGTCTTTCGACACAAACGTCTCTACAACTGGGATTGTGTGCCCGTCGAAATCGACGAGCATGGCGTAGACCATCAGGCCGAACGTGCTAGGATGATTATGACATACGATTGCAAATGGAAGTCCTCGAGAGCTCCAGACAATCCGTCAATACTCGACTATGGGACTCTTGACCCTCTCATGGAACCTTCCAATGACAAGGTTAGACGCATTGTCAATGAGAAGATGGCACAACTCAAGGCAGAGGCGCGCGAAGCAGCGATTATTCGGCATCCCCGTTCACCGTTGTACCAAGGTCCTAAACCAACGCTAACCGTACGAAACGTGGACGAGGTTATGGATATTTCAGAGTAACTATTCACCCTGTCCTGCATTGACATTTAGCTGATCAATTAAAAGGTCAAAACATTACAATGGAGATATACCTTTACATCGTCCCAGTAAAAGAGTAACATACTATCAACCAATCTATAAACCAATTCGTCATCAGCCAAAAATAAGTGAAAGGAAAAAGGTTCAGCAACATCAAAGCCTCGCAGGAAAGCCAAAGAGATCTCAATTGCCCGATGCATGGCTAGACACCTATACTGCGTGAGGCTTCTTAAACAACAGCTGCCCTTCTTGTCTGTAGTTGTCGTACTTTTGCGGTCTTTATGACAATCACCAAGGTCCTCAGCAACTCCTTTGGCATTTTCCGCTTTCGGAATAATTCAAACTCCATGTCGTCGATGTTGCTGGATCAATCAATCTTCCATACGAAATCCGAAGTACGAAGCGACGCATCTGATCGTCAACCGAGTGGAACCATTTTCAAGACCGACTTTTGTCGTGTTGTGCTGATCATTGAACGTGCACCTCGTATTGCCAACAAAACAAGCGGCGTGACGGTGTGGTCCCTGGAACAGATCCGTACCGTCGAATGCCGGTGGAATACAAGGGGCAAATGCAGCTACCCGCGGTCAGAAGCTGGGGAGTTGCATCATTCGGAGATTTGTGTTTAGGGGTCTGCAACGAGGACTGCTTCTTCATTGAATATCTGGTAAAGTGTAGTCGATGATATAATGTCAAATTCCTCTTGATAACCATACCAAGGATAGATTTTCAAGTACTAAACCATACAACCCAAAAATCCGCTCTCTGCAGTTTCGGTAGATTCAAGGCTGTGCTACACAAAGTGAACGTTCCACGCTGATCTTCAAGAAACCAAACATATCCGCTCCAACCGCCAGCAGCCAAGCCTTTAAACCATGAAAAACTTTAACCTTTCACAACTCCACTCCTCGTATTTTGGTAACTATCCTAAAAATAATATTCAGATGTCCACCATGTCGTCACACTTCTGTTTATGCTGCGATGAGGGTCTGAAGTTCTATATAAGTGATGGGTTTCCATTCGCATAATTGATCATATTAGACAATTCAATTACCTTCTTCATCTGCTACCACTACAAATCAATTAGGAAAACACAAAATCTTCGTTTCATCTCAATCAATCTCAATCAAACCAATCTTCAAAATGCTTTTCAACATCGCCCTCATCTCCTCCCTCGCTGCCGCTGTCATTGCAGCTCCAGCACCCGTCCCTCAAACCACAAACAATCCAACCTACTCATGGGACGTAACAGGATGGAGTGCAGGTTGCGCAAGAGCGGGATGTTACTATGGTAAACTTCCCCATCTTCCCTCCCCTGGTACCGTCCATCTAACACATCCCCAGATTTCAACATAACAGCCCCCGCCCACGGCACCAACCCAACCGTCCCAGCATTCTCAGCATACTGCTCCGGCTCAGAAAACGGCTTCGGTCTCGGTGGAGATTACAGAGCTTGCAATATCTTTGACGATCTGCCAGCGAACAGAGGCGTTGTTGCCAAGTTGTTGCCTGCGCCGACGGGAAGTGGTGCGCATATCCAAGTTAGTCTTCAGTGGACGGATTTGGAGCAAGCGTGAGTACTTGAATGCTTTTGATGATTAGGAAGAAGACTGACAAAGTTGTAGGAGCACTTATTACAACTATACTGGACATGCGAACAGCACTTATAACCAATTCGTCGCGCCGCTGCAATCGTTCAAGATTACTCCTACCGAGTTTTTCGGTGTAGCGTAGAGGATGGACAGCATTGTAAATATAATGTATATATGAAGTATAAGAAGAGTTAGAATTTTGTACAAATTAGCATGGAGAGGAGTTTTTGTAATAAATTGAATGAGATCTCTCTATTCGGTAGCGTTTGCTTATCATCAACCCCATCGTGATGCGCCTGAGACCTAGCGACAACCGTCCAAAACCCCATATTCAACATTCACACTTCATCATCCTCCTTCTTCACCACCACTGTACTGATTTCAACATCAATCATCCCAAACGGCCCTCCATCCTGGCAACTTGGATCCTGTGGAGGCAGACTCGGCGAAAAGTTCGACGCAATAGGTGTAGAGGAGCAAAACTCCTGTGCCTCATCTGGACGAGGCATAATAGGTCTTCTTGTGCGGCTTGGTTGGTTTGAAACTTGGGGAAATCGGGAAGGAGATCGTCGTGGCATTGTTATGTGTAGGATGGTGATTTGATAAGAAACTTTGGTTGGTGTGGACGTTGCGATGGTTGACTTTCAGGACGAGGGAATAGTTGTAGAAAATTCATCAAGGTGACATTTTGTACTCCTGCCCTGAACGTCGAGGGACGTGGGTGATTGTTGGACGTGTCGATACGTTATTGCTTCGAACCTGGAGACTTGTGCGGCTATTAGGGAGAAAACGAGATGATTCAAGCTATGCCACTTCATGATTGTACACAAGATGCTAGCAGATGGGAATCTTAGCATTGACATGATTTTATTCTAAACCGTGGTATCTCATAACAAATCAAGCTCCCTGCTTCCGCTGCCTCCTAGCCATCCGTTTCTTCTGAATAATCTGTGCTCGCTTAGCTATTTTCCCATCGTCTGTAGCTTGTGGCCCGTCTTTAGCAGCAGGTTTTGGTTTCTTCGTCCGCCCACCATTCGTGACATCCGTGCCTTTGCCGCCAGCAGAGTTTGATTCTTTGTGCGGAACTCTATCGAACGACTTTTCTGGAATTGCTAAAGGACCTCGTCCCTTCTTTCCTCCTTTCATGCCCTTTCTGGTTTTAGCCATGACGGTGTCTTTCCTTAAAATCTTCTTCTCTTTTGGTGGTGCTTCTCCTTTTTCACGAAGTTCCACTACCTCCTTAGACCGTAGTCTTGCCTTTTCCTCTCGTTCCTTACGTCGGGACACGACTTGTGCATTTTCAATAGCAAACTCGACAATCAATCGCTGCTTCTTCCCAGCCGAACTTTCAAGTGCATGCCCGTTAAGCCATCTCAATCCCATCAAAGCCCATCGGTGAGAGCTGTACTCGACAAATCCATACCCACGACTTCGACCTGCACCGCTCTCCTCTGATACTTTCGCTCCTTCTCGTCCTTCAAAAACGATCTTTGCTTGTCTAACAATACCTTTTCCTTTTGCTTTTCTTTGCTTTTCAGAATCTCGCATCTCGTCGCCACCACGAGCCTCCTCTTCCTTTGAAAGCTGAGCTCTTAATCCACCTTTGACATCCTTTGCAAACCCAACAACAGCCTCACGAGCAAGTGCTTTGAGATCTTTCGAGTCGATAGTTTTGGGAAGATTTCGGATAGAAAGACGTGTAAGACTCAGGTGTAGGGTTGGGTTGTTTTGGATCAACTTTTTACGCTGCATAGCACTATCTTCTCGCATCTTGATTTCTGACGGGGCTAAAGCAGCGTACAAGGGGGTCCCAGAAGCGACAGTTCCTTCAGATAACAAATATAGCTTCCGTTTGTCTGTGTCGCGACCTTCTCTGAAAGTGGAACCAGCCTCTGTTAGCTTTACAGCAGTTTCTCGTTCCACAGCTTTTGTGATTTGGAGGACTCGACCGTCAATAGTATACATGCCGTTGGAGTCTGCAGTCTCGCTCTCTAATACAGAGTGCTTGACTTTTGGAGCAACCGCGTCTCCTTTCTTGGTCGCATTAGCGCCGCTGGGCTGGAAACGAGGGGCACCACGGAAACATGCATCTGCATCCTCGACTTTGAAGAAACAAACGAAACCAGTACCCTTGGGTCGATCGGTGGCCTTATCCATGACAACTCGTGCATATCGGACTGGACCAAATTGACTAAAATGCTCCTTGAGATCTGGATCTAGAGTTGTGAACGGTAAATTGCGAACGAAAAGAGTTGTAGAGTTGTCTGTGATCATGACCTTGGCAGGTCTTGCGTTTTCTTGCTCACTCTCTAGGTCGTCATCATCCTCATCCTCATCGTCATCCTCATCATCCTCACTCAGCTGGTCACTGCCCTCGTCCTCCAAGTCGGATCCATCCTCGGACTTGGGCTCATCATCACCCTCGTCCTCCGATTCAAGTTGATCTCCAAAGTTTTTCATGAAATTCGCAACATCATCTTCTTCATCTTCTGAGCCCTCTTCGACTTTTGCCCCGCCCTCCTCATCGTCCGATTTATCTTCGTCGTCGGTTGCATCGATTCCATTGGCTTTTTGCTTTTCCCATACTTCTTTTTCGACAGCCCAATCAACTGCTAACATGCGCCCGTCCACCATTGTTCCGTTGATAGTATGCAGAGCCTTTTCGGCATTCTTCTTTCCTCGCATCACCACAAACCCAAAACCAGCCTGAGTATCCTTGACCTTTGGCAAAGTAGAGATTTTGACTTTGCCGAACTTCTTGAATAGCTCCGCCAGCTGCTCAGGGGTCTTTATACTCCATGGAAGATTTCGAATGATGAGTTTGGGCGATTTCCTGTTTTCTGCCAATTTCTCCACGCGTGCCTTCTTCACAGCAGCGGCGTCTGCAGATATCGTACTTTTGTGCTTTCCGTCTGCCCCTTTGGTCCCAAGTTCGCGAGATCTAGGCTGAGCAATTTCAATTCGCATGTTCCGACCGAGGAACTTCTTTCCGTTGAATTCGTCCACCGCTCGCTGAGCATCTTCTGAATCTGCGAATGTGACAAATCCATATCCTTTTGACTGCTTAGTCTCCGTATCCATGACAACCGTTGCATGCTTGAGAGGGTAATTCTGAGAAAAGAGTTCGGTCAAGGCTTCGCTGGTAGCCACTGCGGGGAGTGATCGAACGAAGAGTGTTCTGCGGGCAGAGGCATTGGTTTCGTTCTTCGCCTTTTTTGGCGCGGGTTGTTCGTCATATTCTGAGACGGGGGCAACTGCCTCATCATCCTCAATACGTTGTCGTTTTGCTGGAGGAGCCATCGTGAAGTTATACTGCAAATCTAATTGCAGCGTTTTGAAAGTCCTGATCCAAAAAGTTTCTGTCTCAAAAATATTGAGCTCGGGCGCTGCAGGGCAGAGATCCTGGATTCCCACGTGATCGTCCGCGGACCGATACGTCTTAGCGCGGCTCCGTCGTTGTCAATAGTCTGTGACAACCTTCCGATCCTCATCACGGGCTAGATCTTCCAACCACACCTCCTACGACGACGACAATCACCCTCCAGCGCATACCACGACCTCGACGACAGCTAAAACACCATCGCGATATCGAAGATCGAGAATTAATTGCATGGACTAGGAGGCAGGTACCGCAGCACCGCCGGAAGGTGCGCCGTGGGGCGAATTGCGACCGTCTCACCTTGAATCGCCAACCCTTCGCCCATCCTTTGTCCGCTCCTCTGTGAATGAACCTACGGCACAACTCATTCCCTTCAGGCTGGACTGCAATCGATTGGGAGGATTTGCCAGGCTGATCAATATCGCACGAGCAGTAACGAAGCAACTGGCAGACGTTCCGACCTGAATCTCAGTGGATATTCACTTCCAACTGTTCGGAACAAAGAAACAGCGACGATTCTCGTGACTGGTCACCTCATTCGCATCAGTTTCCTGCACATATAACCTCGATATGCCTTCAGATCATCCGCAAACTCCTGAAAGTCCTTCTCACGCCGTCTCGGGCGTCACCGATCTCTACAGGAAAACCTCGACCTCACCTCAGTTCACAAACTCACTCCCTACACCAGCGCACAGCATCAACGGCAGTATGTCTGCTCTCGGTGCGGACAGTATGGTATCGGGGTTTTCTCAGGACGACGCTTCTAATAAGCGGAAGCGGGATCCGGAGGATAGCGGAGATCGAGACCAGAAAAAGGTTCATCTTGAGGAAGCTAGGCTCACAATCGAGCAACTTCACTTGGACGTGGGCGAGAAATACCTTCTTTGCAGAACGCGTAAGACTCCCTTCTTTCTGCAAGACCTTGTTCGACCTCAACAGGTTCAGTATACTTGACATGTCCTCCGTCTTCCCTTTGAAAGTCCATGGTTAACATGAACTTTGTTGTGCAGCCCATCCTAGACAGTCTCCCCATCTATCTCAAGATCTATTTGCGATGTACTCGTTGAACAATGTGGCTCAGTCGGTAGCAAGGACGAACCCAGATGGCACGAAGAATCCTTTGCGAAAGACGTATAAGAAATATATCAAGACGTTGGGTTTAAGTGGCGCATTTGATGTTGGAAAGAAAGAGCTTGACGCACCAGATACACTGTCCGCTTTAATAATGACTCCAGATGACCAGTGGGAAGCACAGAATACTACGAGTCGACCGATGGGCAAAGGGTTCTCAGATGAAGTCAGATCGAGTTTGGGCAGTGCATTCAAGATGGCAAAGGGTCGCATACCCAAAGATCGATTTGACTCGTCCGTATTGGGGGAGATTGTGGCTCGTCCTGTGGACATGTCGAAGTTGGCTTCAAATGGGATAAAACCGCATCCTCCTCAAAATCCTGCGGTCGCTCGTACTGCAAAGGGCGAAGTGCCTCGTCCGAAGCGTAACGTCAAGAAGCGATCATACGGAGATGCTAGTTTTGAGGGATATGGCGAAGGCTATATCGACGACGAGACTCAAGACACCGGTTATTCTACCGGGGAAGGAGACGATCGCAGTGGTCGGAAACGGCCTAAGAAGGTTTGTGGTATGCTATCTGACCTAGAATCATTGCTAACACCGCTTCCAAAGAATGGACCCCCTCACAACTATCAAGGCCCTTTGCGACAAAACAGTTATGGGCCTGGCATGGTTGGGGTATGAACCTGTAAGATTTCATTTTTCGGAGATTCCCTGCCATTCAATTGGTACAGGGTGTAGCACAGGTTGATTCGTTTCGACCATCACTTGAGTGTAGATTGAAGCTGCGTGTAAAAGCGATATAGAAAGTCATCGCACTGGCGATTTGATGCGACCAGGTACACCAAGCCTGAAGTGTGGGCACGTTGAAAGTCCCGCAGCGGTGAATGTTTGATGGCATGCTACCTTTCAGCTGCCTCTGGCGTTTGTATAACTGGTTTAGCGAGGGATGGATATCTCTATGGCGAACTTGGGTTGATTGTAATTATGACACAGCCGCAGATAAATGCAAAAAATACAACATTCAAAAATATCTTATTGGGTAATATGTGATTGTTAATGAGGTGTATCTCTGGTATCTTGATTCGCTGGAACCTTCCTAGTCAAATTGGCTGTCTTGACGTACTTAATACTGTGGAGTTATTGTCCACCTAGACACGCTCAGGAATGGTCAACTTTTCAGTGTTATGCAAGTATTCGTGTCTAAATCCATTCCTGAGAGGGGAATAGTGTTATTGCTCGAAGTCTGATTTTAGACTTGACAATTGTGACAAGCGAATAGTATTGAAGCTCTTCGAGATACTGTTCAAACTGCTTAAGAAGAACAGGGTGTACTGCAAGGTACTAGTTCTCCAACCTGTATAGCCAAGACATCAATAGTCCGGCACGAGTAACATGCATGTTCAGTGAGCAGTGTTAGACGAATATGACTATTGTTTACAGAGCAAAATCTTTTGTTGCTAAAAGGGTATATATACATCAAAGAACTCCTTCAAACAGATAATCTTTTATCAAGCCTTCTTCGCATATGTACTCGGGTGCCCGTACTTCTTACCATGCGCCTTCACCTGCCCATCAAGCATCGGCTGCACAATCATCCACACAAAAGAAGTAATAAGTGTATATAACGTGTCCAACACCCAATTACTCCTCGGCATCCCTCCCCAAGCCTGAGCTTTCATAGCTCTACCCAACCAGTTCATTGTAATTAGATACTCCCCGGCTTCCAGCGCCTTGATCGCGATAGCAGCAACTTCTTCAGGGCTCTGAACCGGATCTGACTCCTCCAACTCCTTCGTGATAGCCGGTTTGTTCAAGTTTTCCCTCTCGAACCCAGGAGACGTTATCGTTCCGGGACACACTGTATGGATTTTGACAGCCTCTCCTCCACCATATAAAAGCATCTCCTGCTGCAACGTATCGCTCAAGTTCCTGATGGCAGCTTTCGCAGGCGCATAGGGAGAATAGCCAACCGGGGCATAGAACGCGCACACCGTAGCCGTGAAAATCAAATGCTTCTGCGACCCTCCCATTTCCAGAGCTTCAGGATCAAGCCATTCCCGCAATACACCATGTGCCATCTCTGCAGCTGCCCAGAAGTTTAGATCCATCTGCGATCGAAGTGTCTCCATGGGCGTTTCTACGTAGAAATTCGGTAGGGAGGTACCAGCGATACACCATACTATGTCGGGTGGGTTGCCATGGTTCCAGGTTCGTGCTTCTGCGAGCACTCGCAGTGAGGCTGATGACTGGGAAAGATCTGCGGATATGTATTTGAATCTCTGCGATGAAGGGTTCTTGGCTGCGGCCTGGCAGTTGGTTGTTAGGGATGGCGCTGGCTATGAGGGTTGTTTGGAAGCCTACCTGAACTTCCTTCAAAGCAATCTCCAGCTTTTCCACATTCCGCGATACAATTATAACATTCGCGCCTTTCTGGGATAGCTGTATCGCTACGGCCTTCCCCATCCCTTCCGAGCCTCCCGTAAGCAGGACCGTCTGGGCATGCTTGGTTATTACTTGAATCTGACCAGCTGTACCTGGGCGACTTACCTTTCCCTCCACCGGGAACTTGTTTCCACCAAATAATCCCATGATGATTGGTATGAGAATGATGGTACTGAATAGCAGAAGGGCGAATGTCCAGTAACTATATGTTGAGAACATATTGTTGAACGGAATTGGATTCACGTCAATGTCAGCATGGAAATGAAATGTTTATTGGGATGGTCTGTGCGCAAGACAGCAACGGCCGATAAGCGATAACTTCAGGGGAAGGGGCAGCCATTGTTTTGCGCTCGAAGAGATATAGAAACTTTTCAAGAATTTTATTACTACCTATACAATCATGGTTTAACCAGAGACTGTTTAATTAAAATGAAATATTTGGAATATGATCGATGGTAAAAAAAATATTCAACAGCTACGTAAACCTTCAGCTCATCACAATACATGCTTCGCTTCTCGTATAACCTCGACCCCAAATAAAAGTTATGTTTGTCGCGCCTCGTCGAGGAGACTACGTCCGAGGAAAAGGAGGATCATTCGAAATCAGCCTGGGCCGAAATTAATTACTATCTCACAAAATCAAATTCAATGATTAGGAGCTCAAGATCTCCTATGTCGTTCAATTTGAGGTAGACCCACGTGAACCCGGGACGAGCCTCCGATCCGGTCCAGGTGTTCGGGAGAGTTTGACTTGCAGCGAACAAACAAAATGATGCGATCCACAGTCCAACAACATACAAAGAAATCAACATGGTACGGCAAGATCTGTCCAAACGACAGATCCCATGAAGCATTAAGCCGACGGTCTCTTGCAGGTCAAATCTGTTACCAGCCTGCACATGCCACCGAGTCTTGTGCTTACGATCACCAACAGCTCGTCATCGTCTTACTTTTGCATTTACGAAGTCTAGTTTATTGCTCGGACCGGAACGAGTGACAGCCAACCAAGAAACTCATTTGAGGCTGCCTTAATCAAACGTTCCACTTAACCTGCCAGTGCCTTGTTCAACCGCTCTTCACTTCATCCGAACTGGGCACTCGACATTGGACGACGGCTCTCCTGCGGTGTGCCTATTGGGCGTGTTACCAAATAGATCTAACATGGCACTGCCTCGCAGAATCCCGAAAAGGATACCGACCTGGCCGTAGCCTTGTGGAGGTTGTTTGATATGAGACGAACCCGGCTACGAGTGCTGATTGGAGATGCCTCGAAGAACCTCGAGCATTAATAGAGTCATATCTGCAGCCAGGGACTTTGAGGTTCCAACACAATGGTCGTCAAAGATGTAACCCAGCCGTTTTTGGCTGGCTGCTCTGGTCGCTTATCAGGCCAAGCAAGCGCTGAAGCATGTCACACCCGCCGCAGATCGCAAAACTCTTCAGTCAGTGGACAGCAGCAGACACCTCTGTCGTTATTAACTAAGCGAAGGGAGCAGTCCTGTGGCCATTCCTTCAAGGCTTGATCAACATTGTCACCCGCATGTGAGAGCCTCAAAAGCCTCGAAGGATTCTCCTATTTAGGTGCCTGGAGGGCGTTAAGGCCGGTGAGAACTTAACTTTAACCACGGTGTTCTCGGCACTATGTACGAGTATACTCGAGTACAGGCCATTCAGCGTGTCGGAATGGCCAATCTCACCCCCGTCAAACGGCTTTTTTCTTCACAGTGCTGACCTGGGCGGCGGGAGGATTCCCTCCAACAGCCCCCACGACGACATTACTGCGGACTCTTGGGGCCAGTCGGGCACATCCCAAGACTGCTGTGCTGCAACTGGTTCTCCTCGCACCTCGGCGCAACCTCCCTTAGCACAAATTCCCGTTGACAGGGACGGTTTCAGAGGCGCAGTCATTGGCCAATTCGCGAGCATTTGGCGATCCAGCCTACCAGAAACCCCTCTTTCCCTATTTCGAGGGGAGACATGTGGAAAAAGCCATGGGGGCTTTTCTGCTAGCTGGGATTCCATTGTTTCTCAGCTCGTGGTTCATCAGCCCTAAGTTATCGGTCGCGGCTGTTATTGATAACATAACAATGTCGCTGTTTCCTTTGCCGTCGCAACCCTTTTCTCATCCCGTTCCTTTTCTTGAATCTTGTAAATGTGATATGCAATTGTGCGACCGTTTGCAGACCCCTTCGTAATTCCTCGCGCTTATCATACCTTTCCTATTCGCCACACCGGACCTTCAAGATACGACTCTATTACTTTTGGGAGCATTTGCTGGTTTCAAGGTCATAACTGTGCCCCGATCTTGTTGGTATTTTATCTTATCACCATTTGGGGGTGTATATTGTTGGTTCAAGGCAGACTGAAAGCGTTGACTGTTTGCAACTTTTCAGCACCGGATCCGACGACAAAGGACTCACTCGAAGTAAGGTCGGCTTAATTGGCTGGTATGTATATGTTGTCTTCCCTGACGATGCACCCACTATTTTAGGGCCAATTGCTGATATGTCGATTCCAGCTATTGTAATACAGTGCCCTAGCCTGGAGGCTTCAGCAATCTTAGATCCTCCGTCACCTCCGTCCAGTGTCAAAATGGAAGAAATTCCGAAAACTCCTGAAAATGGACAACCGAGTCGGAGCTCTCCAACAAAACAGAGAGATCGCGCCTCGTCTAGTGCATCGTTTGCTGACCAGAATCGATGGCAATCCAACATGGGGTTGCAAACTTTTGGCGCGAGTCTACACGCCGCTGCGCAGGCTCTCTTCCCACATCAAAATCGACCCAGATATTCCAAAGTCTATGTTCTTCTAGCGAGGTGGGAGACCGAGCCAGAACTTGCGGTCTCCAAAGACATCTCCAGATTATACACCGTTTTCAAAGATGTATATCACTTTGAGACCGAGATGTGGAAGATCTCCGATGAGGGATCACAGGCAGAAGCGGACCAAAAAATTGAAGACTTCATCAGCCTCGGGGGAGATAGTGAAGATCATTTGAAAGTTGTTTGCTATTCTGGTAATTGTTTGACGACGAAGACTCGAGGACTTGCTTGGACAAGGTAAGTCCCATACAATTGATGTGACAAGTGCTCACACTAATTTCAATAGTGGATACAAGAATTCCAAGCACCGATATCCTACGGTGCAATGGAGCAAGATTCAATGTGCCTTGGAAGAAGCAATGAGCGATGTGCTCATTCTCTTGGACTGCCCATATGCTGAGACGTTTACCACCGCCCAAGGAAATGGCGTTACCGAACTTATTGCTGCCAACGCTTACACAGAGGAGAACAACGGTGTTCGGAAGCACTCTTTTGCTGATGAGTACGAAGCAGAGCTTCGCGCCTTGAGCAAACTGCCTTCTTTCTCGATTGGTAACTTTTACCAAAACTTGCTCTGCAGAAATCAGAGCGAAAATGCCGAGCAAGGGAAGCAGGATCCTGCGCCAATATTCATCCCATTGACACAACCTGACCTTTTAGCACCCCGAAGCATAAGAATTACGGTGCACGAGGATGATCATCTAGATCACTTGGATGTTCAGTCTCCACGGCTGCCGACAACTCCAGGGAGTATGTACTCTAATGGAGACAGTATTCCCTCTTTCCAAATGTCTTCGGCCGTTGGGCATGGCAAGATACCACGAATCGCATTTGCGTTGCGACTAAAGGATCAATTTCGGGTGTCTGATCTCTCTTCTGATCTCTTTATGAATTGGCTCGAGAACATCCCGTCGACAATTGAAGGCGTAAAGATTGAGGCGGCATTTCACAGTTCATCATCGCTACTCATCGTCTCGATTCCAATCTGTATGTCTATATACATGCCACCGAGTGATGCGACCATCAACTTGGGTCCAATCACGTCGATTAATCAAGTCCTGTCAAGGTTCCAGATCCCACGTGATTTGCCAACTCCCATCCCCGACAGCGGACTCTGGGATCATATGCCTAGTTCCGCTGGCGAAACCAATGGCATGCGAAGCAATGGACATACGAATGGCGTAAACGGCAACTCGAACCTCACTAACCGTCACAAGACTACACGTTTTAGAGACCAGGATCAGTTCATTCCTGACTCAAGGCTCGATAGCAATCTTCGTCCGAGATACGATAGGGCTTATTCTTCAGGACGAAGCGCAGCTAGCAGTTTTACCGAAGAACCGTCGCCAGCAACAAGCTTCGATGGCAATTACGAACCGGAAGAGCCTGTCAACGGCTCATGTCAAGTTCCAACAGATAGCGGTGGTGCGCGGGGCTCAAGTGGCTCACAATCGAAATCAAGCGCGAAAATTGGAAATTACAGAGATGAGCCAGATCAAAAGCAATTTCCTCGACTTTCAAAGCCTGTCGAGTTACTCCGCAATACATACGACTGCATCGTGATTGGTTCTGGCTACGGAGGCGGGGTTGCTGCCAGTCGCATGTCTCGAGCTGGTGAAAAGGTTTGTGTACTTGAAAGAGGCCAAGAAAAGTGGCCAGGAGAGTACCCAAGCGGTTTCATAGATGCTATGAAAGAATTTCACGTCTCTGGGGAATTTGCACCTGATGTTCTTAAAGGAAATATGGTTGAAGGTGGCGACCCAACTGGCCTTTATCATCTCATAGTCGGAAAGGGCCAAAACGCATTTGTGGGCAATGGCCTTGGTGGCACAAGTCTCTTGAACGCGAATGTCTTCCTGGAAGCAGACAAAGGCACTATGGGTCTCGATGACTGGCCAAAAGAGCTGAGGAGAGAAGGCGAACTCGATAAGTACTACCAGAGAGCGAAAGACGTTCTTCAACCCGTTTCGTATCCTCATGATTGGCCAAAACTTCCGAAGCTCTCGATGCTGGAGAAACAAGCCAAGTTTCTTGAAGACAATGGAACCAAAAACAAATTCTACCGAGTTCCTCAGACAACTCGTTTCGTTGGCGGCCCAAACAGCACCGGCGTCGAGATGTACCCTTCCGCGTTGACTGGCATGGACTGTACTGGGGTCAATGACGGGAGTAAATCTAGTACTCTTGTCAACTATCTCTCAGATGCTTGGAACTGGGGAGCAGAAATGTTCTGTGAGTGCGAGGTCAGATACATCAAGAAGAGTCCAGATGGAGGCTACCTCGTGTTCTTCGCCTGGCATGGAAGCAATAGAGGCGCGTTTCGAGAACGTCTTTACGAAGATCTCATGTGGGTACATGCAAGAAAGTGTGTCTTCCTCGGGGCAGGGAGTATCGGAACTACGGAAATTCTTCTGCGCAGTAAGAAGCTTGGTCTTTCCATGAGCGATAAAGTCGGCACAGGTATGAGTGGCAACGGCGACATGCTGGCGTTCGGTTATAACACCCACGAAGAGGTCAACAGTATCGGCCGCCAATATCCCTCACCATATAACCCCATCGGACCTACGATCAGTGGCATTATAGACTGCCGAGATCAAGAAAATCCGCTCGATGGGTTCGTCATCCAAGAAGGCGCTATTCCAAAGGCATTATCCATCATGTTTCAAACAATGTTGGAAATGATGCCGGGTAACCAAGCTCCTCAAGGAGAAGGCGTCTTGGATAAGGTGAAGCACGTCGCTGCGCAATTTGGAAGTCGATTTTTGGGACCATATTTCAGAAAAGGCAGCATCGAAAAGACACAGGTATATTTGGTTATGAGTCATGATTCAAATCAAGCTATCTTGACTTTGAAAAACGATCAACCAGTTTTAGAATTTCAGGGTGTTGCCAACAGCAGTGGGGTCAATAAAATTCACGAGCTGCTCAAGAAAGCAACTATAGCAGTCGGCGGGACCTACGTCAAAAATCCATTCGAATCATATCTTTCGCAAGAGATCACTGTTCATCCAATTGGTGGCGCATGTATGAGTAAAGATGGAACTGCTGCTCATGGAGTCACGAACCATTTCGGAGAAGTGCTCACTGGCCATGGTACAGAAACACATCAAGGGCTCGTAGTCACTGATGGTGCTGTAATTCCCACCGCCCTCGGTGTCAATCCTTTTGCAACGATTACAGCTTTGGCAGAACGGTCTGTCGAACATGCAGCACGGGATATCAAGAAACATATTGACTTTGACACTCCTAACGAGACTCTTGACTTATTCGGGTCCCCTGGCCAGTACATAAAGGCTTCTGACTCTCCTGCGCGCCAAGACACAATGCAGATCGCAGCAGCCAAGAAGCTGGTTGAGGATACTGTTGCTCGAAAAGCAAATGGATTTGGATTCTCTGAAGTCATGTCTGGCTATGTTCATGTTGGCGACGGTGTTGAAGGCGACAAACCAGAAGATTTCGAGACCGCAGCAAGAACTGCTCGGGGTCTCTGTGAAGAATCTCGGTTTTTCCTGAGCGTCCAGACTTTCGATACCGATACTAGTAAGTTACCCTCCAAGGATGCAGAACAATTACTAACAACTCTTTAGCTGTGAACAGGGCTGATCATAAGGCGATGCTTACCGGGACCTTTACTTGCGCTGGTCTTAGAGGAAGTCCATTCTTAGTTCAAAGAGGTGACTTTCATCTGTTCCGAGTCGACGTCAAGTCTCCCGGGACCAGAAATCTCGTTTATGAGTTTGACATGATCTCGACCGAAGGCCAAAAGTATCATTTCCACGGATTCAAAGTTGTGGATTCCTCCGTCGCACTTGGTCCGATACGATTCTGGCAAGCTACGACCACTCTTTATGTGACTATTTCTGAGGCAGCAGAGTCCGGAGGCAAAGTTCTTGGCCGTGGAATGTTGCACATCAAGCCAATGGATTTCCTGTCCGAAATACTTACCTTGAAACCATCTGGCAGAAACTTCTTGGCCAAGTTGACCTCCACTGCTAGCTTCATGGGTTATTTCGCTAGACAATCAGCGAGTCTATTCCTTGCGCCACTTGTGTACCAGCAATATCCAGCCGTTACTTACAATGGATACATCAATGACACCTCCCCAGATGCAACCATCAAAATCATCTCTTTGGATAATGATGGTATTGAGACGAAGATGCAGATTTGGGAGCCTCGCAATCCAACGATAATGACTAAGAATTTGTTCATGATTCCTGGCGCTTCTGTTGATCATCAGATATTTGCCCTACCAACGATCGAGGTTAACGCTGTCAATTATTTCACACGTGCTGGATACAGGGTTTTCGTCACTGTTCACAGAATCTGCCAGCTGAAAGTGGCTGAGAACCATTGGACAACCTTTGATGCACGGCACGACATACGAGCTTGTTTGCAATGGATCAGAGACAATGTTAGCGATGAGAAAATTTACACCGTTGCGCATTGTATGGGATCTGTTGCTTATTCATGTGGTCTTCTAGATGGGACCATTCCAGCCGACTGGATCTCTGGAATATCGTGCTCGCAGGTTTTCATGAATCCGGTGTGGTCGCCATTGAACATGCTCAAGGTCAAGTTTAGCCCTGACAAGCTTTATTCTGCCTTTGGTGGTTCTTGGTTCTCTTGCCAGTCGACAAGAGATGATTCCTACTTCCAACAGCTTGTCAACCAGATTCTACGATTCTATCCGGACAGTCGGAACGAAATGTGTAACAACGTCTCATGCCACCGTTGCTCTTTGATCTTCGGAAGGCTGTGGAATCATCGAAATCTCAATGAAGCGACGCATCGCCAAATCAATCGTTTCTTCGGCGGCGTAAATATGACGCTGCTTGCAACACTGAAGCAGATGGGCTGGCGAGGACTTGTCACCACCAATGGGCCGGACTATGAAGACTTGACGACTGAAAAGAACATTGCAAATCTGGAAGGCATACCTATCATGCTTTTCTCCGGATCAGACAACCAAGTACTCAAGCCATATTCAACCGACAAAACATACACGATCTTACGAAATAAGTTTGGTGTTGCAGGCTACACCCGACATGTGATTCAAGGATATGGACATCTCGATTGTTGGATGGGGAGGGAAGCATACAAAGACGTTTTCCCAAAGGTTCGCGAGCAAGTCGACAAGGTCTGTAGACCAGAAGGGTATGCCTATCGCGAGCCGGATTGGAAGAATGATTGGGATGACTGGAAGAAGTTGCCCAAGAGCTCGGATTGGAGGACGAACTCGCCCGAAAACTCGTGAACTGTGGTTCTATGTGGATCAAGACGACGTGTGCGATAATGTGCGATGAGTGTAATGTACTTATATTTGTTGGGATTTGTAACGGAATAATGGGCAGGTCCTTGGTAGGTGTTGGCATTTTGGGAATATTCTAGGATTTTGGTTACACGGTGCGCAAATCTAGTCTTTAATGTGGAATTTCAGTAGCAATAAAATTACAATATTGCATTTCAAACGCCTTTCATAGCAAGAATGTTTGCAGACCAAGCTCCTCGATGATTGCGGCCGAGTTACCGTTTCTTTCTTTGTTTCATCAAATAATAGATCTTCTTACTCACCCTTCCCACACCAAGATCACTGACTAATCCCGATTACATGAACCCGAACTACACTGTCAGCTCGAGATAGCCGGTACTAATGAATTCGTGTACTTTAACCAAGACGTCCGACCCATTTGCGAAATGCTTATGCGGAAGTCACACAACTCATCGTAACAAACGCGGAACTGAAAGACCACCCATCCTCTCGCGCTTCTCGCAGTCATTCTACGCATTCTGCAACAAGAAAACCATGTACTCTTATTACGCAAGAGATGGAACGCTTCTCGCGACAAGGGAATTCGCTGCGTTTCCTAAATTGACACCAGAGCAAGAATTGCTACTACCGACTGGAAAACATGACGAAAAAGCAGTACAGAGACTCAGCGGGCTGTGTTACGATGAGCTGAAACCGCTGGTGGAATTCCTTCTGCCGTGGCTGCAGGACATCAACTGGCCTATCGCATTGCCAATCGCCGAACTCCTGCGCCAACACTTCGGCATGCTCGGAAAACTCGTCATGGATATCCTGCTCCTCGAAAAGAACGATAATACATGGCGGAACTATGTTCTTGAGTATATTGTTGTGCGGCTTGTTGAAGAAGGGGAATTGGTGGGTGAGGAGGGCGAGTGGAGGGGTTTGAAGGGGGAGTTGGAGAGGCTGGTTGTGAGTCCCACACACGTGGAGAGAGATGAGTGGGATATGGATGTTAAGGCGACGGAGGTTTTGGCTGCTTGGAGGGCGAGGGAGGCGGATTGTGATGAGGAGGGGGATGAGATGGAGGAGTTGATTGAGGAGGTTGATGCGGTTGATTGAGGGTGAATCACGGCTCACGACGGAAAACACAAGGCGCACTCAAAAAGCGCAACATCGGCAATGATGGTTCCTCATTTGTTTGCAGCGAGCAACCTCTCAATTCCATATAGCGATATTGCTTCTGAATGGCGGCACATATCCTCAGCTGCACATCGAAATGAGGTTTTACTGGTCGAGGTATCCCGCGGTTGTATGGTAACGATCCCGTCTCATATCTATTGGCAACAGAATACTTGGCTTGACAAAAATGGCAAAACATGGCTTGCATCGTGTGCCGATGGTAATGCAATGCATATATCGCCAAGCGAAGCTGGATGAAACCATCATCAACAACTCTCATCGTCAATTTTGTATCGTCTTTCTTTGCAGACAATATGTTTTCACAGGACTCTCTACAGCAACGCGACGATTTAATCGGCGAACAACCTCATGCAGGAAACTATTTGGTTCCCAAGGAATCCGATGAGCGTCGACCAAGTGGGAAACCGTTCAAATTCAAGATCGCGACCTCGATTATCGTGATTCTATGCCTCATTGCTGGCCACGCTTTGGTGATAACGGGGTCTCATGGGCAGCCGGTAAAAGACTGGAAAGTTCGCCCTTCAGTGATTGTACCAATATTTTCGGGCATTATCCACGGTCTACTTGCATATCTTCTCTCTGCCGGAACAGCAATCAATTGGTGGGACGCGACGAGAAAAGGCACGACGCTCGAGCAACTTCACCAAATTACCAACCGAGGGGCAATTTTGGAATGGAGTAAACTCAGAAAGTTTCTCTTCGTTGATAAGAATTTCTCGAAAGTCTTCCTTGCGACTTGCTTTATCTCGCTGGCATCATTATCAGCCGGTCCACTTCTCCAAAAAGCGACGAGCACGACGAACTCACAGTTTGAGACTCAAGGGGTGGAAAAGACATTTGATATCCTTCCAGAGATACCAGATGGCGTCTCTGGTAAAGTCACGGTACAGCTCTATGCTGCAGGATTGGATTTCACGGCCGCTATCAGAGGATGGTACCTAAATGACACTATTAGAGTACCACACGTTTCTGGTAGTACCTGCGACGGCCGTTGCCATGGATTGATCAGGGCCCCTGGAATATCGGTCGATTGCGAGCGAAGCCAAGAGATAATCGACTTGAGAGATCCAGCCCAGCCTGGTGTTCATCTGTTTCGCGTCAATACGACGCTTGTTGAATCGGAGAAAGGTAAACCAACCATCGATCTTGTCTCTATATACTCAGCAGCTGTCACACAGAACTGCATGGCGACAGTGATTCAAGATAAATGCAAAATTCATATGGCTATCGCAGATTTTCCAGTCATCATCGAAGGGGACACAATCGCGCTCGAACCGCAAACTATTCCAGATATGAACTCTCCGAATAGAACATATTCAGCAGGTGATACTCTCGACGCACCGAACAACGCACTTGCTGGCCCTCTTCGCGGTATTTCGTATGCAAGCCATTCGTTCTTCGAATCATACACTAAGGTCCCCAGATCGGACTTTTGGGAGACGATGGGGGTGCCAGCAGAGACTTTCTACCTCTATCCGAATGCCTCATCGCATGAGGATATTCCTATAGGATGTCGCCTGTTATGGAAAAGCCCGACAGAATGGGCGCTCAATTCGATGAGGGAGATTATCTTCAGAGTTGCTATCAACAGCAATAGGCAAACAAATTCTACGATCAGAGGAAATGGGGTTCCCATCCCACAGACTTTCAAGACGACGCAAGTGACTACTGAACTTGCTTTCCAGAGCTCGTATGGATGGCTCGCTGGTGGAATTGCGGTCGAGATTATTGCTGTTGTTCTGGCGGTGATGCTTACGTGGGGATGGTGGGATTTGACGAGGGAGGTCAGCTTGAGTCCAGTGGAGACGATACAAGTCATGCCGCATATCAGTCGTGAATTTGATAGGGATGTGGATGATATTATTAAGGTTGATGGCAGTTTGCAGGTTCAATATGATTTGATGCCTTCGAACTCGGTGTGATAGTTCTGATGTCAACAATCATTTGGTATATGAATATGGGACCACGACGTCTATCTCGAAAGACCCAGGACCTTGACGGAAACTTCAATTAGCAGTCCATCGAGATCAATTTGAGTACAAGGCGCACCGAGGACGAGTAGAATATCTCAAAGACCACGGCAGTGATAAGTGATGGACAATTTTACGAAATTATTTGGCAATTTAATCTGCTGAATTATTACTCGGAGTCTTGAAGCAAAGAAGAATGTTGATCACTCACGGCTTTTTCGTGGCATCGCTCGCTGCAGCGAGATTCTGACTTATGGTCTTGAATCAATTCCTCCGCCCTGGTAATTCCTGACGGCTGGGTCGTGGTGCCTCGTACACTTAGAATGACGCATAGGATCTCGTATGAAGATGCCCAAAAGGTTTCAAACGTTGCCAGTTTAAATCTCGGCAGGATCGGCCTATTGCAATCAAACTCACACAGAGGACTGCAATTAGGAGAGAATATAATTTAAGCTCAGATCGCAGGGCACCGCGCGGTGGGCTGGAGTAGATCTGAAGCTAAATTGAGCACATATTGGTTATCGCAGTTTTTTTTGTAATCGAAGTAATTTGGAAGAAGATAAGCGCAAGAACTTACTTCTTATATTTGGAAGGGGGCGCGAATAAAGTCAATATGTTTCTGGTTATTATATCCGCCAACACAGTGTACGAACCGTGCAATGAATTATTTACCAGTATCTCAACTCTTATTTTACGCACCTTATTGTGAGAAACGAATTGTAACCTTACAACTACTGTGTCTTGCGGTCGCGCTAGTCGTGGTGGTGGAGTCTCTCTTATTCGTATGGTGTAAAGCCCGCGGACCACGATATATAAATGGTCTTTTAATTTGGGACAAGCACGCATGTCGAGAGGCTTAATTGAACTTATGCTAGAGAAGTTGCAGAGCACCTTGGAAGCTGATTTCCGTAACTTTGCTTCTTACTAAAGTCTTCCGGAAGGTGGCCTCGACCACATACATGAACCACGGGACTGCACTTTCAACACAACAAAGCGAAACGATGTAAAGGAGTACTGCTACCTGTTGAAACTTAAGCCAAAACACTGGCAAGAGAGTCGTGGTAGTAAGAATCACGTTCAATTTCGTTGTAACCCTAATAAAAATATATAATGTGTGTGTAGCTTCACAGTGGGTATGAAGCAGTATGAGTGAAGTAGGACATTTGGATCTTGTCACGAACGACCAAAAGTTCTGCGGCTGCTTTGAAGTGTGCCGGTCTGCCTTCTCTTTCTAATCAAAACATGTTATGTGGCTTGTAGATATTTCTAGGTAGGTGTTGCAGTCCCTCGATGGGATATAATCAAAATGCTCCGGTTTTACTCATGTTGGCTTTCCTCGTCCCTTCCCAACAACCTAGTACTCGTATATAATCATTTTAACATTTTTATTTAGTTTATATATATAGTTCAGCCACGAAAATATATATTCAAAAGAATTCATATCCATTAAATCGCAGACTGGTTACCGCGTTGAGTCTGGGCTCAACCCACGATGCGGGCCATACGGCCGAACCTACACAACCTGCATGTAAGAATCCGATCTCATTGAATACTCCGGCCTTGACCGGAAGATTCTAAAATTTATCTTGATAGGTATGCCGAGTAGGTTGGGGACTGGAGGTTGTCGTTTGTTCAGTCAGAGACTACATCGATGATGGTTGAACATAATGATCACAATACAATCTGACCATACGCTTGCAAGGCTCATGTTTCCTGAATGATATGATATATCTGCATAGGATTTCTAGAGATGATACTTGTGTGAACGGTTGAAGTGATTGGAATGTTGTGTTTCATGTTGTGTTTGTGTAATATTATCATGAATCTGGTGCTCCAGTAACCCGAGAAATAGGAACTCTCAACATACTGTACTTCAGATTCATCTCATTTTCTGTTTCTAGATACATGCAAACGTTTGAATGATTGAAAATCCCACGTGGGCGCGTATCCAAATCGGGGAAATCGGCTCCCAAGCCGGCTTAATTCCAGACCGATATGCGGAGGGTTACAATAAGCACCGGCACTTCAGCAGAGAAGTAGCACTAGCTGCAGTATCACTGCATAGGGCAAGCACGACATTACCATTCTTAGCCGAAAATCTACGCCGTAGTGGCTGCTTAGCCGTCGAGTATAAGCTCTAAGAAATAACTCTAATTCAACGGAGCTAATGTATATATGCAAGTTGAAGTAGATTATCACGCGCATCCGACGACTGAGAATGCTCACAACATCGTGGCTGGGAAAATTTCAGCTGCGCGAAGGTTTGCATTTCTCTTACATCAGACAAGGTGTAATGTTCAACCGAGCAGGGAAGATCTACAAAGTGTGCGACCCGAGATCTGCACTTGATGCATATTCTTACACCAAAACAGTTGTTCTTGCATTTCCCACGAACAAGAATTCTTTTTGATTTCTTGGAAGGTGAAATCGTCCTCCGATGTCACAAAATCAATGTGGTGGTTCCCGAGATACACCTTGAGAAGCAACTTCTTGGTCAAATGATTGTAGAATTACGGACGTTCGAAGATGGACTTCGGAAACCGTCGAGATGGGTGACAAGAAGAGGACTATAAGAGATTTAAGTTGCAGCCATGTTGAACGATCAATAGTTACAAAGTGTACAGCACTCTTTTCATAACACATTTTCCCCTAGCGAAGCTTTTGATATATTTCGCTTGCCAAAATGTCTTCTACAACAACGGAGATAGAACCCAAGGGCCTGGAGGCCACTTCTTCTGCGGAAGCAGAGAAAAGCATCCCGCAAAACTCCACGAAAGCGCCAAACAAGTTTGTGTCTGCCATGCGAAGAATCTATCGACCTCTTGGATTCCAAAAAGGATACAATTTTCCACTTTGTAAGTGCCCAGCTCGACGACTTTGCAAATCTAACACTTGTTAGTTATCATCTTTGCTGGTGCCATGCTGGGATTTTGCCTTGCTCGTGCGATGTATATGAATGTTAGCGGCAACGCTCCTCATAGTTTCAAAAACAGCACCGTGCCTGGAGAGTGGTACTGGTACCAAAAGGGGTTCAGAAAGATTGGCATCACTCTACATTTGGCAACTTGCATCCCCTTGGGATTCCTCATGATCTGGCAATTCGTGCCAGTTATCCGACACAAGTTCCTTATGTTTCACCGAATCAACGGATACGTGGTGATCATCTTGACATTCTTGACCAACGTGGGCGCATTGATGATTGGACGTCATTCCTTTGGAGGAGGACCAGAAATTCAGCTTGGTGTCGGAGTACTCGCCATTGTGACAATTGGATCTATCTGCATGGCTTATTACAACGTCAAACGTCTTCAAATTGATCAACATCGAGCCTGGATGCTTAGAGGAATGTTTTACTTGGGCACAATCATCACACTTCGAATTATTATGCAAGCCTCTACCCCGATCCTGTCTGCATCTGGCAATTATTTTCAGTCACAGCCATGCAAACAGGTGCAATTCAGTTATGAATTGTATGGATTCGGACCATATACTCAAATGTTGTATCCTCAGTGTAGCGACCCAAATGCTCAAGTCAGCGTCAAAGCTAGTATGGAGGGTCCCGGTCCGGAGAACATCGAAGCTGCATTAGGGATCTCGTTCGGAATGGCCTTCTGGATGGCGCTGTTTCTCCACATGATTGGGCCTGAGATTTACCTGTCCTTGACGCCAGCAGAAGGAGAGAGGTTGAGGAACGTCAGCTACGAAAGACAATTGGAGGCGGGGTTCAAGAATCCTGGAAGCTCCGGGTTGACTTCTGATAGATGGGGCGATGCTCCTGAATGGAAGCCGCAAGTGGTTTGAAGTGGAAATCGAGTCTCTGTCGATGTCGTCTTTTGCGACGTGGTAATGAATTCGGATTGTTCTGTGTGAGCCAACATTCGGAGCCATGTGAAACTCGGTGTTGCAGTGGGGCTCTTCGGTAGGATATGTGGACATGTAGATAAGTGCTCTAAATATGATTGAATCGTCAAAAGTAATAAAATGGACGCCCATTAATCGTCTTGGCACTAGATTCCATTTGAACTAGTGCCAACACTGCAAGCTGCTATTTCATGCTTTCTTGGCCAACTTTAGAATTTTCACTTCTCCTGAGCTCTTGACATTTTGTCACAGTTGAAGAGGTCTTACAATAATTTAACCAAGTCCATACGATTCTAGCCTAGAGACATACCCTCCATCTCATCCTAATTAAACAACTAAACTTACTCGAAGTTGTCGTGCAATCTTAGCACGCCTACCGTAGAACAACTTAGTACAATGAAACCTCCCTCATGTCATTCCATCACGACACTCAATCTTGTGCCGCCTCATACCTCACAATCCTACTTCTGCGAGCGACCAAAGGCGGTCACTAAGCAGACCTTAAGCCCACCAGGAACCTCGTGATTATTGAACTTCTCGTAATCCACCGCAACGTTCTCAAAATCATCCTCGTACGTGAACATGAAAGAGGGATCATAATTTCCACTTGTGGTGAGATCGAGCAGGAGCGGGAAATACTGTGGCATGAGCCAAATCGTCAGCATAAAAATGTTGTAGTAAAGAAAACAGGGCAAAAGCTTTATATATAGTGACTTACCTTCTGGGCATACAATTGTCCTCCCCTAACTGTGAGTGCCTTCTCCATCATGGCGCCTATGGGAAAGTCGTTAGTATTGAAGAAGAAATCTCCAATCAATGCAACATTGCCACCCTTGCGAGTAGCTTTGATAATCGCGCTGACTGTATCGCTACTGTCGCCTTCTGCGTTAATGCCCCGCATGATCTTGTGCTTGATGGAATTAGTGCTTCGGAAGCCGCTTGCCTCAATGGCCCTGTCGAGTCCATGTGGTTCAAGCTCTAGGACTAGGTCGGCGATGTTGGTGTAATCGGATACATCGAGTGGAATGGAGCCGTACCTTTCAGCCAATGCCAGCCGGTACGGATCTTTGTCGATGGCATAGACTTTCTTTGCTCCGCGCAGCAGCGCGAGACGTTGGATGGACAAACCCACGGCTCCACATCCCCATACCCCAACAACATCCCCCTTGCCAACCTCAGCTAATTCGTTACCGTGCCACGCTGTGGGAGTCACATCACATAGTCCGAGCAGCTTCTTCGCTGCGATATCCTTTGGAGCCTTGACGCATACGAGGTCGGCATTAGGAACTCGACACCACTCTGCTTGACTACCGGGATAGCCACCTGTCAAGTTCGAGTAGCCGAATATGCCCGAGAGACGGTGGCCGTAGAGTTGCTCCATCTCCTTGGAAGGATTGGTCTTGTCACAAAGAGAATATTCTTCATTTTGACAGTAAAAGCATTCACCACAGGCAATGACTGGCAGAATGATCACTCGATCCCCTACTTGCAGGGTCTTTACTTCCGGACCAACTTCATCCACGATTCCAATCGCTTCGTGGCCTAGAATAAGGCCTTTCTCCATTGCGCTCTTCATGTCTGGGTTGTACATGTGTAGATCGGAGCCGCAGATGGTGCAGTGAGTGATATGCACGATGGCATCTTTGTTGGCTGTAAGCATGGGTTTGGGAACAGTTCCTAATTGGATGTCGCGGGGTCCCATCCACTGAGCTGCCTTCATCGTCTCAATTGGATGAGGCTTGTAATCAGTTGAGATGATTGGGCTAGATATTTCAGTATTGGTGACAGAGTGAGGAACCAAGAGACTTACGGTAGAACTTTCGCCATGATATTTGTTGAGCTTGTGGAAATTTGTAGTGAGAATTGTTTGCCAGAGGGTGAAAGACATAGGCCATGGGTTCTCCCTTTTTTATAGGGATCACATACCTCACGGAGTAGGTAAATTTACCTGTCATCCCTCAATCATTCAATTTGGCCAGACGTCATATACATATTTGCATTTTCTTATATGTGTCAATTCTATTTTCGAAACCGCCTGATGTTCGCGTTATTCGGATCTGGTGTGCAGTCAGTATCTTCGGGTGAGATCATCTTCAGGTTGGGCACTAGCCATGGCTGGAATACTCTGTGACAAAAAAGCTACTGGCTACTTCGTAAAAGCCGGAACAAACCACAGTGGGGCAAAAATGACACTAAAATGCTTGGAAATGCTGCTTTAAGCAAAACCCCTGTATTTTATTAGTATTTTGTACTATTGCCATCTGCCAAAATCACTTCAATACATCGATCGCCTATACCTCGAATTAGAGCCTAGATTCTCTCTTTTGGAATCGATTCCTAGGCTTCCTGGACAGCTATTCTTAATATTGGGTAGGAAGTGTGATGATCTGGGTACTTTTGCTCAGTATAATCCTTCATCTAATCCTATACCGTCTTAATTGGATTTAAGTCTAGGCTATTTGCCGGCCATTTCATTACCTTAATTCTAGCTCTTTTAAGTACCTCTATCGTGAACTTAGAGGAATGGCCTTTGGCGTTATCCTACTAGAATAGGAGCTCTAGGTGTTCCTAGATAATCTCATCCACAATTGGAATGATAATATCCGAATAGCTACCTTCATTTATTGTCTCCCAATCCTTCTCCTAAAACAGTCCTCGATAGCGTCCGAATTTACCAGATATACTACCCCAAAACATCCACCTAATTTTTCGTTAGTACCGAGACTCTATACAATCAGGATGGTAGAGCTCGTCAGGCCCGATCTTTCGAATAACCCGGTCCTTATAATACCGTCCTAGATTAACCCAACTTTCGTTACTCCAAAAAATACAGTCCCATTGCTCATCCGACCAAAAAAGGTGCTCCTAAGCCTATTCTAATCGATCGTTCTTATTCTGCTCCGAAAGGAGTGGTTTTCGTCGAGTAATTGCTCTAGTATATCCTTCTTTTTTAAGGGCCGTCCGAATAGCTCTTCGACCACAATTAAAGAGGCTTTGGCCAATCTCGTCGAGAGGAACACGGCGCGTCTTTCTAGAGGTAGTAACCTAATCGATTAGGCGTTTTCTTTAAGGGCTATTAAGAAGAACTTGGCGACCAGTTTTAGTACTCTTTTAGGGGATAAGGCGATAGGCAAGAGCCTAGCGTACCTGGTTAAGAGTAAGGCTAGTTTAGAGGGCAATTTGGTCAATAGTCTAGCCGGCATCGAAATAGAGTATTTAAACTCTATAGCGCTCGTCACGGGTACTCTCTATACTCCTTTTCGTAGGGGTCTTTGGTGTAGGAACGCAATACTCGGTTTGGGCCATTGTGACTATAAAATGTTCGAACGAAGATAAAAGTGGTGAAAAAGAGTGAAAAGCGGCCATCCTCATACAAATATTGTATTAGCTGACCCCTTAGCCTCTAGATGCTTCTGCGTGGGTGCACAGATGCCTCACTGTGGTTTGTTCCGGGTTTTACGAAGTACATCAGCTCCTATGATGTAACCGATGATTGCACTCAGTTGGGGAGAGGACGTAATGCAATGCGACAGTCTTCGGGGTTAGGGAAGTATAACCTTTCAATGAAGGATGCTGCAACTAGGGAAAAGTGGTCATGCAGAACTTGATACCAAAGTCCAAAAAGGCTAGGTAATGCTACAGCTGTCCAAATTTATCTGTTGCTGGAACGTGATATCTGTCAAATTATGTCACTTAATGCTAAGAACCTCTTATGTGACGTTTCGGGTATGCATTTTGAGATGACGAGACCGTCCAAGCAACATACCTTGCCAGTCGCCCACATATGAAAAAAGATTACATCAATTTGGCTACATTAAAGTAAGAATGGCCGATTTGATTGTATCAGCTGTAAATCAATTCCGACTAACTCTCTGGCCTGAACATGTCAACCACTCTTTCACGACTTGCAACAATTTATTAACAAACAACCATTGTGCGCATTAATTTAAAAAACGGGGCAAATACGAACAAAACTCGAAGGAACCTTTCATGCTTGAAAGTGTTCCTACAGTTGCGATACAATCTCTTTCATGTCTGTATATTTGAGCTGCCTACTATCTTCCACATGACGACGACGTTAATACACATCCCAATATGCACATGACAAAGGGGTTTAATTCAACTGAATTAATTTTCAAGGTACTTCTAGCAGGTACTGTACCCCAACAAAATCTTAAGGCCGGATCCTTCAAGTTAACGAATCCCTCCCAAAAATGTTCATAAGCAAATATACCAAGATATCTCCGCCTCTGCTCAAGATACAATGAATAGGGCTACTTCCACGAATATCCATAAGGGGAGGGGACATGGCGGGGACATCCGTGCTCTGGACAGCCGACAAGCCAGAAGATTTCCCCACACAGAAAGACCAGGACTAGAAGGTCGTAGAGCCAATGATAAAAGACTGGATCAAATATATGGGGCTTGTCGTATTCATGAGAAAGGGGGGAAGCTTGCAAGTGATGAAGGAAGAGCAAATATTGTGAGCGCTGATGATAGACGTAGTCATCAATAAATTAAGAAACTTCTGATTTTGGACAGCCTTGCAGACTATGCGACATGATATAAGCAGACGAATGATATTATACAAGCACAAAGCGCCACTTTCCAATATGACGTCGTGGTCAATTTTATGTTGAGGATACTTGACACCGCTCACAGGTTGATCGAAGCATGGGAAAACTTGAACCACTTAGTAGTACAAGACCAGAAATGTCATTTATGACAACCATAGGTTAAGATCACCGATGTGCTTAAAACTAGAGAACAGTAGAATTGTTGATATGCCAAAGTTCAGTCCAACGAATATCATTAGTTGGAAAGGAAAGAAGGTAGACTTTTCAAGAAGAGTCTGTCCTAGTTGAGGGCCCAAGACTTATTTTTGCACCCTCATAAACACCTATAAAAATTCCGTTCCCCACGGCTGTCCATGCTGTGCGGATGAAGCCTCCTCTGAACAAACCTCTAAGTCCTTCCTTGACCCAAATATCATGAGCGACGCTCCAAGTGCCTCTGCTAACATTGTTTCGAGAATTACACAACGAAATATCTTTTTGCTTGGACCAATTTTGACGATTATCGTGTGCTTTGAGCATGAGTCTAGTCTTAACAACATCTGCCGGGGTAGTGATCCAGGCAGCAGCGCTTCCTGCGATAGAAGCACTGAGCGTTGCAATTTTGACATGATCGGAAAGAGAGAGTGTTGGACCACAGCCACGCTGCTGCTTTCGCAACTGGGCCTCTTTGGACATCATTTTTTTGATGCGCTCTAGCAAAGGAAACTGTAGAGCTGTGAACGGTATATCCCTTATGAGAAGGGCTGAATACCCTCTCCAAAGGTTCAACGGATCTCGCTTCACGATCTCCTTTGCGACGGCGAATGTTTGAGAAGACTTGCCTCGATCATTCGAGCTTTGTCCAATAACTTGAGCATTTTGTTTGATGACCTCTCCGGGTATCACTATAGCACTAGTGATTATTTGAGCCAGCGTACTGCTGATTCCGTAGATTAATGGGCTCGGGATTGACGTAGGTAAAAGTGTGTATTTAAATCCTTCGTACACTGTAAAAAAGACTCCGGATGCCGGCACCGAAGTGATCAGCAAAGAACCGATGCCTTGATAAAGACCACGATACAATGATCTATTTCTCCAAATCGCTTTTTTTACATACATCGCGTTACTGTCTGGTGCTTGTATCCTGGTTTTCAATGTGTCAAGTGGGTAGAGAACAACATTGACTCCCAGACCAGCACCTGCACCTGCCTGGATGGGGAACACATGTCAGCACCAAGCCGTCCCTGGACCCACGACAAGTGAACTTACAAGCCATATACTCATGCTTGTGCTTAGGGGGAACATGATGACCGAGGTGTTAGAAATACTGTAAGTTGTCGAACTCGACTTATGTAAACCTTCTTTGATAGTTAAATTTCGAATCTTTGTAGCAGAAACAGTGATTGATAATTCCTGAAAGCCGACATATAGCCATGAAGCATTTTGAGTGGACCCAGCTGTTATATATAAAGGCAGAGTGCTACTCCACGGTACGCAACCTGACTTCTTATAACGATCAGGAAGAAACTCTGGGAGCCCCCCAAGCGACCTTTTGACTTGACGTCAGAACATTTATAGAGGGCTAGGTAATATCGCTAGCGTAATCTAAACTACGTATTCAGTTGAGATTTGTCGTCTTTGCACGTGAGTGATAGAAGGCCAAGGAAATTTGCGCACTCAATTCATACGATTTCCACAACCGACGCTTCGACTCCAAAACATGAAATTCCTTTATTTCACCTATTAAAACACCCGTAATCAATAATGCCCTATCTTGCTGATAATACTTCCTCCAGATATTAAACATACTCACCTCAATTCCTGGTTTCTTTTCACTGCCAAAAACGTCAAGCTCCAGAGCTGAATAACATTACTTTCCGCAGGTCTTTCAACTCCAGGTGGGGGCTGTAGACTACTCAAGGCAGCGTGATGGTAACTCCCATCTTTATATATCCAAGTCCACACTTCATCTGACAGATATTCTTGATTTGCTTCAATGTTATCCCACAAGACATTGTAAGCTGTCCTCACGTTATTGTAGACAAGCTTGTCATTGCAAAAGCTTGGCCGATGTAAAGAATTGCAGCGGTCTAGCTGTCTCTCAAGCCCCTTCGCCATTCCAACCTGCTGCCAGCTCCAGATTACGGTGCCATGGTATGCGGAGTTGGTAAAATTCTGATTGAGCTCTTGAACGCCAGAATATGCTGGATTAGCAACAACAAGTCCCAATGGTGTCCGGAGGCCCGCAGGAAATGGTCGTATGATAGACAAGGCAGTTGCGTTTAAATAATGTGTTAAACGCGGCTGATTGGTTCCGTTGAGGAAGAAAATTCGGCAACACGCATCCGTATTCATGATCGAAACCATATCAAGGCCATTGCTACCATCCAAGGCCACAGCATAGTAGGAGATGTCAGCGTCCACTAATTCACTATGCGATGGCCCGTCATAAAAGTCACTTGACCTTGCAAAATCGTCAAGTCTCTGTTGCGCGACTTTCACTGGTATGTCCACTCGGAAGAATTCCAGAGTATGATCTTCCCAGACCTGTGCATACCTCTCTGCGAGTGAAGATAATTCGTCCCAATCATCCCCAAAGATTTTGTGGCCAAATCTCTGTGCGAGCCTTGCGATCGAGCGAAGGGCTGCAGGAACTAATGCCACATTGACATCAAAAGGAATTCGACCTCCCCCGAGACCGTAGATGGAATCTCGCCAAACACCAGTATCGTAGCCGTCCCTCAATTTGATAAGATTCTCCCTTTTCTGACCCTCAGGCGCGGTAAAAGACGCCGTTTCTCTCATTATTTTGTTTACCAGTGTAGTGAATAGGTCACCCCATGTCAGTCCCTGATTCTTCACAACCACTCTACCTGCAGATGTTAACAGCAGATTCTCAAGACGTTCATGACCCGCGTCAGATTCTACGAAGTAGGCGTGCATCAGTATAGGCAGAAAATAGTCAATATCAATCATACTATAATCGCAGCGAGCTTCGGTGCTAGAAATACCATCTGCCATATTCAAGAATGTGGCATAGTCGCCGATGATCTCTTCATGACATGCACTACCATCTGTCCGATTGATTCTTTCAAGAACGGATCCGAGTACAGCTTCGATTGCTGAATTGGTTAGGACTGGTTGCAGCAGTAATGTTGATATCATGTCGTCCCTTCCAAAGTATGTTAGGAATCGCCACGAACCAGCGAGAAACTTTTCAGAAAATGACAGGAAGGACAGAGCCCTCGCTTCCTGGTCCTGCGTTTGATGATAGCCTCCTGGCATCAAAACGTCATTGATCTTTAGCTGCTCCAGTTGATGATAATTGAAGCGAGCACTGAATAAATATTCTCCGGGTTCCAGGACGGCCTTGTCATCTTTAAGATGGATGGGTCCCGCTGATCGTCGTTGGAATGATACAACCATTTCTGTGACATTGTCAAGCAACAAGCGCGAAATTGAAATGTATTCCGTGCCATGCATTGTGAAACGGAGTTTTTCTTGAAGCGCTGGATGAAGTTGGCCCGAGCCTTCAGTATAATCGCGAATTGCTCTCACAGACCCCGCAATCACAAGGGGTATATTGGTCACTGCCCCGAATTTGATGACGCCTTTGACCCCAATACTCGGTAGGTGCTCTGTCGGGAGATACACGGGCCCTAGCGGTGATCCTTCGGTTGTATTAACAAATGTGATTGCCAGATCGGAATTGGGGTTTTGAGCCGATTGGAAAAAAAGACATGCACCACTATTGCCAGCGGGCCATGCTACAACCAGACGTGATGCTACACCATTCAAGTTTGAATCGTAGGAAGAATTGGTAAGGACTACGTGTGCTGCGACGTTACAGTCTGAGTAGAAATAGTTGTCGTGAGGTGTATCCGCGTGATGAAAGCTTGAAACGCTTTTCATCCAGTTTTCGCTTGCGTTTTTGTGACATATCTTCTCTATACTTTGGTTAATGGCACAGCTACATTCTCCTTATTAGATACTATTGCTATCAACTGCCACAAAGAGGCCAGAGCTTACCCAGGTAAGCCGAGCTTCAACCACTCTGGAATGCTTGTAAATATGTTTGGTTCGTTATCTGTGGATTGCGAGAGAACATTGCTATTGCAGTTCTCGTGGTCTTCACTGTTTGACTTGAGGTTTTCTGGGTTCTCGAGTTCTTGCGTGAATCGGCCATCGCCTCGAATGAACAATTGATAAGCGACAATAAAGGTAAAGATAAATAATGGAATGCAATGCCACAACCGAGGTCTGAGTAGTCTTGAACACATCATGTCTTGAGACTGCTCAATTTATTCCGTAGCAAAGCCTTCTCCAGTGACGGAGCAAGAAGCTGTTGCAAAGATTTAAAAGCTTGCGAACGTAGTTGTTGTTCAGAGATAATTTGGCTATCTAGGAATTGATGGGTCAAGTTGAAACAATGTGACAGTTCTGCATGACGCGATTAGTGTAACATGTTAGGGTTAAGGGCAAGCCACCGACATGCGCTTAACCCTGTCATGAAAGCGTGTGACGAAGTTACGTATTGACGCATGAAGGGTATCACACCATGGAGAAAGTAGAAACAACACCTTGACCAGGTGACGATCCACCAACGTCCTCGCAATGCAAGCCCTTTTTTTGCAAAATCCATAGTTACGTCGCATACTTTACGGCAAGGCCACCAATTGTTTTTGTGATTAGATCACCCAGAACCAAGAAATTAGAAAAGTTATATTTAACTCAGCATGTTTCAATATAGCATGCGCGTCATTGAGAAATATGGCACAGTATAAGACCTACCGGTCACAGTGTTGGCGCGACGAGGCAGCGGTTCACGAATTGGATGATTTAGGTAAAGAAGTCTTCCGTTCCGAATACTCTTCAAGTGACCAATCAGATGCAACAAGCTGTTAATTCCTGGATCAATTGGTCAATTAATCTTAATTAAAGAATAGGACAGCTAATCTATTATGTTAAACTTGAATTTGACAATCGTGGAAATGGTGTAATTTTAGTGAAAATATACATATAAGCTCCACCTACCCTCTACATATATAACCCCTATAATTACACCTAAATGACTTGTAGAAAAAAAGTTAGATCCGCTAAGAACTACCAACTTTCTTATCACTTACTACTTATTTATTCGCCCTCGACGTAGCCGAAAGCGTTAGGTTCCTCTTTAGTAGTAAGTGATACTTTACTGTTTAAGGTATTCTATAATTTGAGCTTAAATAACCACCTGGCAGAGTACTACGATTAGCGGTTGATTATTTAATAATACTAGATATTTACTAGCTAAAATATACGGTTATTATAAGCTACAGGTAATACTTAAAGACTATGATAGAACACGCTAGTAGGCATTTAAAATACTAAAAAATGACGAAGAGCGTGACCCTGACGAAATGATCGTTTATTGGTCCACTATAATATGTGAATTAATAGACCGATGATTGATCAATCGTGTCGTCTAATTGGTCAGTTGATAAAAATAGTGAGTAGTTCGGAAGACTTCTCCTTTCTCGAGATGTGGCTCTTATTTATACTGCAATTCCGCATTCTCCACGGCTCTCATCATTGCGATAATAACTCCGACAGTGACAGTCTCTCAGGAGCACCGAAATCCCACTCGCAACACTTGCCCACATGCTCACTTACTTGAAGAATTGTGGCCAAGAAACTTGTAACGAATATGTCTGTGTTAACATAGATATATCGTCCTTCTCCGATCTCATCCATTGACGTTTGTCTCAGCGTCAATAAAGCTCGAGTCCCAAAATATTTGTAAGTTAGCCTGTCGAAGTGTTGAGTGATGTTATTTGGATTTGTGGCTTACACATACATCATCGAACTTCGGAACGGGGGCGTGTAAGTGTAGAAGAATATTTTACTTGTGTAATGAATGCCAATGACAATTACTATCACGTTCACCAAGGGACTGTAAGTCTTGCGGAGGTAATATCATGCTTTGACATTGTCGGTGATACAATCTTGATTATATGGATATATTTGTTGCAGCTTATGACGTACACTCTGAACAAGGTAAGAACCGCATTACATCTTCACATCGATCTTCACATATAATAATTGGGGAGAAATAAATATATATATCTTCGGTATAGATCTCATCCCAATCGACTCCTTGAACAACCAGCCACATATAACCCAAAAACCTCTTATTGAAATTACATTTGCCCACAATGAAAATCGCTATTGTTGCACCACTCTTTGAACACATTCCTCCTACCAAGTATGGTGGAACTGAACGAATAATCCATTATTTGGTTGAGCAACTCGTCGCTCTCGGACACTCGGTTACATTGTACGCTACGGACGGCTCGCAAACCTCAGCAAAACTTGTCCCGTGCTATTCTGGAACACTTCGAGAACACGGGATAGGTTCGAAACCTGAAGATACCGAGCGGATTTACACAGCTCAGGTGAAATTGGCATGTTCCGCTGTTCCTGCTCATGATATCGTGCACATTCATCATGGACTATATCCTTATCATCCCGCGCTTCTGGAGACGATCACCAACATCCCATTTGTCTGGACCGATCACAACGCGGTGCACAATGATGGTAAACCTGAAATAATTGACCGACTTTTAAGGTTGGGTATCAAACTTACGGCGCTGTCTGATTCACACCGTAACACTGTTCCACTTGCGCCCTGGACGGCCACAATCCACCATGGTCTTCCAGTCAACTTGCTGAACGCCAAGCCTGCTGATCCCAGCTACCTGGCATTTTTGGGACGAATCTCACCAGAGAAGGGCATCTGCGATGCTATTTGGATTGCAAATCGCGCGAAGATACAGTTAAAAATTGCGGCGAAGGTTGACGCCGTGGATCGCCTATTTTACGAAAAGGATGTGAAACCACTCCTGGAACAATTGGATGCGGAGTACATTGGCGAAGTGACAGAGGATGAAAAGGGGCCATTTTTGAGTGCCGCAAAGGCATTGATCTTTCCCATATGCTGGGAAGAACCCTTTGGACTTGTCATGATTGAAGCCATGGCTTGTGGATGTCCAGTCATTGCATTCAAAAGAGGTTCTGTACCAGAAATTATCGAAGATGGTGTGACTGGATTTATTGTTGAGACGCGAGAGGAGGCTTGTGAGGCTATCCAAAAGCTGCCTCAACTTGACCGTCAGTACATCCGAAAACGATTCGAAGAAAGATTTGTGTCAACCCTAATGGCCGAAAAATATGTCGAGGCTTACAAGGCGTCCATAGAGGCTTTCAAAAACACTCATAATCCTTTGGCTCTTGCTGGGCTACGCCCATCGCTCCAATCGCGACGTTCCACAGCAGCAAGCGCCCTTATTCATCAGGTATCAATGAAGGATAGTGTAAACAACAAAGTCTACGAAAAACCATTGACTGCCTATACTGCGAGAATTATCTGAAGAGGAAGATTAAGACTGTATTTATCTAGGATAGGATTATACTTTCTTTTCTTAATTTGTATTTAACTTATATACGCCTTAGCTACCTCTATATAACAAAAGCGGATATTTTCTAACACTAATGTAAACATAGTAATAATAAAATTAAGGTTTACGTTTTTGTTTTCTTCTATATAATAATCTAAGCTTAGTCTAATTTTATAATATAATACTTAGCTTAAGTGAAATTAATAGCCTCTAGAAGTAATAATTCTAGAAATAGTAATTACTAACTAGATCTAGTTTCGATTTAATATCTCGAAACTAGAGTTCTAGATATACCGCTTAATAAGCTTATAGATCTATCGATTAAAGAGACTCTAGCTTAGCTATACTACTATAACTTAGAAAGCTCTTACCTACCTTATCTCTAAGTAATATTTAGTTAAAGTATATTATAGTATAAGCTTTAGTACTAGAGTAACTATAGAATAGCCTATAAATAAGGTAATATTAAGAATTAATCTAGATCTAGGTTTTTTGTAAATAGATATATATAATAATTCGGTTTTTCTATATACTATAGATAGAGGTTTCGTTAGGTTAGTATATAAGTAAGTATATAGGGTT